ATTTTTGTCCATTTGTTCTTATAAGTATGTTTTAATTTTCTGAATCAAGACTACTGAGGACCAGGTAATGAAAAATTATACTTACTTTCTTCTAGGTTTCTGTGTCAAAATTTTCTACATTAAGCCAATTAAGTACAAAGGTTCCATCAAGAAGGGAGACAAGCTTGGAACCCTATTGCCATTGCAGAAAGTTTATCCTGGCATACAGTCACATGTACACATTGAGAACTGTGACTTGAGCGATCCTACTGTCTACCTGTAAGCAGAAGACAAAGACCAGATCTTATCAATAAGAAGCCATCTTCTTAAAAACTGGGACGCATGTTCTACATCTGAAGAAATCTGTGTTTGAAAAGAAACAAAATAAATGCAAGAAAGAAAACTGAATTTTGATTTCAACTCACTGTCACTTTGATGTTCGTGTGTGAACTAATTTTGTGGTGCTTTTAGATTTTTTTCTGTCACCTATAGTAGTTTTATGTTTTTGATTTCTAAGTCCTAAAGACCTAAGGTAAATGAACAAGTCAATTTAAGCAGGTCCAGACTGGATTTTTGACACCTCTGAAACTAGTCTCTTTTCTGTCTGAAAGTGAAAAAGAGCCTGAATGTCTTTGTATAGCATAGAAATGAAGGGCACTTATAATGCTAGGTATAGTAGTACATACTTAATAGTCAAATAAATTGGAATCTTCTTTTGAGTTAAGCTAATAGATTCTCAGCAATATCCTTACGTTGGTTGCGGGGGAGAGCTGCTCATGTGAATAAGAATTTGCTGGTCCTTCCACCATTCACATTCTGTAAGAGTAACATGTTTCCTAGGTAATGAATGATAGCATACTATAGAAAGAAAAAATATTTTGCTTTTCAGAAAGTACTAGAAAGAGAAAGAGGACTATGTGAAGTATCTCATGGAACTGGGTCAGTTGGCCTCATCTAGCTGACTAGATATATATAATCATAGCTACTTATTTCTGTGTATCACTACATATTATTATTCTGTTTTAGTTATGTTGACAACAAGTACTGAAAGGAAACAAGACCATAAAAATGTTCAAAAGATCAGAAATAATTCTGGATCTTTAGATCTGTTAGTCAATAAGAAATAAGTAAGATAAATTAATCATTGTAGAAACTTTCTTTATGACTTTTTGTTTAAATTCTTTTGAAATGCAGAAAACTTTAGTAGAATGATTCCACTTTTAGGAGAAGAAATGTTAGCAGAAAAGATAGTGGAATTTTATTATTGAAGAAGTGACTCCATTTGTATAACAGGCCCTATGTATAAGAATGTTCATGATAACACTATTTGTCAGAGCAAAATCTGGAATAATCCAAATGCCCATCAAAAGTAAAACAGATTTTTAAAATCGTTATAGTTACAGAATGCGATATTCTACAGCAAACATAATAAATGAACCTCAGGTAAACATAACAAAAGAGAAGAATCACAGAAATATACAGTACTCTCAAATTTAAGAAAAGTAAAAAAAAAAAATCACATAAAGCAGGGTACTTTTTTTTTGGTACTAGGGATCAAACCTGGGACTTTGTGCTTGCGAGGCAGGTGGCAGAACCACTGAGCTAAATCCTCAGCCCAGCATGATACTTTCTATAAAGTCAAAAAATTTCTAAGAACACATACAAAACTAATAAAATTAAATAAAATGGAGAGCAAGAAAATGATGAAATTAGTTACTCCAGGACTGGATAGGGAAGAATCACATAGGAAGATTTAAGTTACTGTCACTGCTGTAGTTTTGCAGTTGAGGGGGATTTAAGGACAACTGTTACAAATAATATGTTACATAGGCAACTGGACTTCCACGTAGGTGGGCAGGAAGAAGAGTTAATGCTGAATCTCAGTTAGTTGAGAAAACTAACATTGTCTTATATTCAGTTAGACAGCATTCTCCACTGTGTCATAATACATAAGACTAGAAAGCTAAGAATTTATTTTTTGGTTAGGAAAAAACTACATCCAGCACCATCTCCTATAATGGTCTACTTCATTTAGGTACTCGGCACCCCAATAACTTTAGGTTAATTCTAGAAATTAAATTGCTATTCAAAAGATAAAGGCTATGCTCCCATTGAAGACACAAGAAAGAGAATGGCACAGAGGCTTTAAAGGTAACTTTAACAGAGGTTTAACATATATAAAAGAAATCTATGCTTAGCCTTCCACACAATCTTCTGAAGTGGTTATTTAAGAAGTGAAACAACGTTGGTTATGTATATTGTTTTAAAAATCAAAGTCATTACCTGGAATGAAGAGTTCCCCAAAGTACAGCCAGAGCATTGCTTTCTGCTTAGCATTCATATCTGCTCAATGGAAATACAAACTTTAGAGCAAAGGACTTCTTTCTCAGGAAGAACTGGAATTCAGCGCCCTCTGGTGTATTATTATATGAGTGTTTTTTCCATCATCTTCTGGTTTAGATATCAACGTACTCAGCTTTAGTCAAAATAGTATAAGTATCGCCTGACAGAAAAGCAACAGTACTGAGTAACTTTTCAGATTTCCTAGTTACATGGGGATTTTTTAATTAAGTAAAGCATTAAAAACACCCCATATTTTCTCATTTTGGGCTATCTTAAAATGTTTGCTTTTCCATATATAACCCAGTAATCAGACCAGTCAGGGACTTAACATGAGTTAATGAATTTAGATCACTCTGAGTTTTGCTCTAAGATTCACTGCAGTGCTTAGTTCTTGGGTTCAACTACCAGGCTATTGAAAAGCTCCACTGAAAACCAAATTTCCTGTCCTGGGTGAAGAGACCAATGGTGCTCTTTCTCTCTATGCTAGTAGGCTATAAGAAGAAACTCTCACTTGACTGCTCTTCTCTAGTCCCTTTCTGTTTTGTTTCCTTTACCTCCTAGTGCAAGCACCATTGGCATTTTGTCACCTTACCATCCAGGTAAATACAGTATTCTCCTGCCTCTCCTTCCCTGAGTCATGTTAAAGCAATACCAAGTGAGACCAGAGGCTTAACTCTGTGCTATGTGCCCCACTACTCTGATTCCCAACTTCATCTCAGTTAAGCCATTTCACTTTTGTTTGTGATTCTGTTACCGTGATCAGATTCCAGGTTCTGTTATGCACTGCTTTTGCACCTTCTTAAAATTATAAGGCATAAATAATATGATCTGCAAGATAGTAACTCTGTCTTCCAGAAATTGGTTTTAGTTTTTGCCCAGTAGACAGTGCCACTACTGTGTATTGAACACTCACTAATGTAGTGCACTCGGTCCTGAGTGTCAGGAGTGTCCTGCGAGCAAGAAACACAAAGGTAAGTCTGAGGTGTTTGTACCACAGAGCTCACGTGAGAGACTGTGGCACAGTGCTGAGAATGGATACATAAGAACAGTCTCTACATATAGTGAAAAGATATAAAAGTACTTTTTAAAAAGCACCATTTACAAATTACAGCACATTCTAATTGTTTAACAGGTGAGGATATTTAAGTTTTTTGTTATTAAAAATACTCAAAATTGGAAGATAAAAACATTTCATATCCTTTTTTAAGCTTAGTTGATTTCTTAGAAATAAATTTAAGACACTGGGGACAGTATGTAGAGGAATAAGTCTGAAAAAGAAAGCAGTTAAGGAAAATATCTGCTGTGTTCATTATAACTATCAGGCAAGATGCTGGGGAAATAACAGTAAGCAAAACCAACAATGACTTTTACACTGATGGAGTTTATAGTGCGATGGAATAAAATGGTAACAACCAAACAAGTAAACACAGCAACACAGTAGTAAATGCTGCAAAGAACAACCATAGAGTGGTGAGTGCATGCACAACAGTAACCTGACTTGTGAACAGGGAACAGGCCAAGCATCAAGGAAGGCTTTGAGGATGAAGTGATATTGAGAAGGTGCCGACAGAAAGGGAAAGCCAGGGAGAAAGTGCAGATGATTTGTGACTGGAGGGTGCAAGGCAGTTGGAAGAACTGAGAGAATGGGAGAAAGGCAAAGCACAAAGTATGGAGAAAATCAGGCCACAGAAGCACGGAAGAGTCAGACAGTGTAGGCCATTTTACAGAGAGATCCTCAGCCTAAAGACAACAAGCCAATGAACAGTGTTAACTGTGTTAGTAATTAAATTATTAGATCATTTATGCAAAGGATCTGGCATATCCTTGCATTCACACTGTAGGCTGGCAAATGCTTATTCTGTCCCCAAAATACTGTACAAAACTTACTCCTTTATCTAGTATATTTAATCAATTAACAACCACAATATCTTTTTTTGTTTTCATAGTATCTTTATAAAATGAATTAGTATTTAATTTTACTCTAATGCCAATTATTATATAATAAAAATAGTTAATAGAAAGTAGAATTCAAAGTATTTTGGAGATAAGAAGCTATTTAAATCTGACACTCAAGTTTAAATATTGCATGTTTTCTCTTACATGAGAAACCCAAACATAAATAAAGAGCAAAATAGAGGATAATAGGAAGTAGGGAGATATTTTTCAAATAGGAAGGGGAACTAGAGATGGAGGAAGGGAAGGGAAAAGGAATGAAAAAAAAAATTGAAGAAAAAAATGGAAATGAAGGCTTTGCAATTGGGAAGGGGAATAAGAACTGCAGAGAGTAGAGAGGGTGGGAAAGGAAGGGGATGAATAAAGAATTAAACGTGTGGGCCAGGGACTTAGCTCGGTGGTTTTGCCACTTGCTGTGCAGGTGCAAGGACCCGAGTTCGATCCCCGGTACCAAAAAAAAAAAAAAAAAAAGAATTAAATGTGTTACGTATAAATTTCCCACGTTAAATGTTATCATTATGTAGCATGTACTAACAAAAAATAATTTAAAAAGGTGATTTTATAGAGTGCTAAAAATTTTATAAGTACAATTAAGTAAGCCTCTGTATCTGGACTTAGATTTTACTCTTAATTTTCAATACTATGTAAAATATATTAATACCAAGATGAATCAGATAAAATGAAAACAATATAAAGCTATAAAGTAAAAGGCATAACTTAAGGGATCCAAGTTTAATGTTACAAATTTATTTAGTAAGCCAAAATATGACTTTAAGGAAGGCTGAGGAATCTACTAAAAAACATCTGTAGGTCAGTCTATCAACCATCTAATCTAACATAGTGTCTGTGCCACACTAACAGATTTCTGGCTATTCCAATTTCTTACACTTTTTCAAATCATTCTGCAGCAATCCATTCAGACAGTTTACAAACAATAAAAAGTCCTAAAATATTTTAGCAAGGTATCTTAAAATTTACATTTGCATAGGTAGACAGCAGCTAATCTGTCAACCATTGGCAGGTGGTTACCAGATGGGCATCACATCAGGGAACCACACCCTTCCCAGGTATTTAGAGACTTCAATGTGAATTTCTTCTAGGCTGTAACTGTCATCAGGGATCAGAACTTCTTCCATGATAGAAAGCTGGGTTAGCCTTTGCCCACAGAGTCTTACAAACTGAATGAACGCACTGCAGCTAACTGCACATTCACTGAGGCCTAAGGCCGTTAAGTTTTTACAGTGTTCAGCAATACAAATAAGTTCGTTATCAAGAGGCTGAAGACCATTAGCACATACCACTAACTCTATTAGTCGAGGACAGTTATGACCTAGCCGCCCGAGAATGGCTTTGCTCACTGAGCGACCAAAATAAAGGTGAGTAACAGGGGTTTCTTCTTTGAAGAATGTCTCAAATTCTTCTTCATATACAAAGAAGTACATAACAACATTAACTCCTGGGGAGTGTTTAATAAGTGCATCCCAACTGTGTTTTTTAATAGAATGAAATTCCATCTGTCCAGGATTTTCACTTACAACATCAATTCGAAGATGTTCAAGATTAACATGAGTCTCGCTTGAAAGCGCTAGGAGAAGCTCATCACTCAGAATGTAATAATTCAATGCCAGTTCTCTAAGGCCTTGACAATGGTCAGCCACACAAAGGATTCCTGTGGGAAATGGGAAATTTTCTTAACAAAGAATCATACCAGTATATTTTGTAAATTTAAATTTGATACTAGTTATTCACTATTTCCTACAACAGAGATCTAATGATTTCTGAGGAGATAGTTTTGAAGATATTAACTATACAGATAATACAAAGTACATATCTGTATATATAAACTCTTAAAATATTTGTGAGAAGCAATTTACATTATATATAGCTTGAAAATTAATACTTATTTTGAATAAAATCACTTTAATGAATTACGTTTCACAAGCATTTAATTTTTAATAAGAAATTCTAAAGCTGTGTATGTTGGTGCATGCCTATAATCTCAGCACTCGGTGATGAGGCAGAAGGATCACAAGTTTGAAGCCAGCCTTTGCTACATAGCAAGTTCAAGGTCAGCTTGAACTACACAGCAAAGCTCTGTCTCAAAAAACAAAAGAAAAAGTCCACTGTTACACTTACTATAAAAAACATTCAGTATTAAAAAAAATATAACCTACCATCAGATGAAACATGAGGGCAGCTACTCATTTTTAGGAGTCTTAGAGTGTCACTATTATTGGCCACAAGAATCTTCAGTGAAGGGTCATCTACTGGTGTGTCTTCAATTTTGATTGACGACAATGATTTTGAGTTGATGAATACAACCGTAAGTGCTGACACAAAATGAGACTGGGATAGCACACAGAAAAAAAATGTAGGAACACATTTAAAATTCTACACCTTCAACCAAAACTAATTCATTAAGAATATGTCAACATATGCAAATAATAACATAGTAAAATCAATATATTACTGTTTTTCATAGTACCATTAGCCACATTTTTAGAACAAAGTGCAGTTTTATAATTGACAAAGGGAATATTAAGAGGAAAAAATTTCCAAAATTTCATAAATCAGATTTTTTAGTTATTTCCAACCTTAAGAATCTGGTTTTCAATTTTAAAAGGATATAATCATATTTATTTCCTAGAATAAGGGTTGACAAATTGGACCAAATTGGACCACTAGCCAAATCCAGCCCACAGTCTGTTACTGTATGAGTCACGAGCCAAGAAGAATTTTTACATTATTGAAGTATTGTTATGGTTTAGATTTGTAATGTCCCCCCAGACCTCATGTTTCAGAAGTGGGGCTTTTGAGGGGTGAATGGATCATGGCCATGAGGCTCAATGTGCTACTGGAAGGTGGGGCCTGGTCACAAGAGGCAGGCGTGCTCTGGAGGGGTGTGTTTCTCTCCCAGCTCCTCCCCTTCCCTCTCGGGTACCAGGGTAGCATGACATAAGCAGCTTTTCTCTGCAGCAGGCCCTTCTACAGTGCTGTTTCTGTGTTTGAGCCTGCTGAATATGGATATAAACTTCTGAAACTGTGAGCTAAAGTAAACCTCTCCTTTAAGTTTAATACCTGCAGGTGTCAGGTATTTTGTCCCAGTGACAAAGAAAGTGGTTAAGTGTTGAAAAAAAATTAAAAGAATAATATTGTGTGATATGAAATCTGTAAGATATGCAGAATTCAGTGTCCATAAATAAAGTTTGGCCGACAGCCATGCCCCTTAATGTATGCATTGTTTGTTTTGGCCTTACACAGCAACACTGGAACTGAGTATCTCAAGCAGAACTATATGGCTCTCAAAGCCTGAAATATTTAATTTTTAGACCTTTTCAACTCCTTCCCTAGAAAAAATAAAATTTTATATATTTTATTCACTCCTATATTTCCAGACCTAAAATAATATCTGGTTCATTTGTATTTTCCTACAAAAAATATTTGTAGGAATGGAGAGAGGAGGGGAGGGAATGGATTTTACAATCTTTGGTAACATACTTTTCCTAGCAAATTACCTAAATGAAATACATCCAATATTTACATGCTTTAAAAATTTAAAAACTGAAGCTTGTATTTTGACTTCAAAATGGGTAGATTTTTAGAAGTTTTCAGATCTAAGAATAGGAAGTTTGGAAATCATGTCCACCAGGCATGATCACTTTCCCTTTTCAAAATCAATTTGGATTCCACTAAAGGATCTCTTATCCCTATTAGAATAACTAAACTGCTTATAAGTGCTAATTTATTTATAAGAAGTATACTGATTTACACTAATTATAAATTGGCTTATATGAATTTTCACATCGTGATGGGCTAAACTTCTACTAAACATCATGGTGCCAAAATTATTAATGAAATATGTTACTTTTTCTTGAAGAAATATCAGGTTTATTTTTCCCTTTAATTGAATTGCTTTAATCTTAAAGGACAGTTAAGCTTTAAAGTACATATTTCATTATAATAACAATGTATTTGCTTAGTATTTATTATGCTTAGCACAAATGATATAATTTTACCCTAGTTTTCCTTAGTTTCTAAGTGAAAAAAACTGAGTCTCAGAGAGAACCCCAACTTTGCCAGAGGCAACAGAGCTCACTTTAACTGAACACAGGGCCTGAGATGAAGCTTGCTGCTATCTGTTCTGGTGAAGCCAGCAGTGATCCTAGAAAGCTGGCCCTGAGGCCGACATGCGATTGTACCCACAGCTTTTAGGGCGTAAGAAACATTTAAGGCATATGTCATTCTACAGTTCTTAAACAAGGAGACAAGTATTTAAAGTGTAAGTTTCCATCTGATTGTTTATATTACTCTAATTCCAAAATGACCCATTTTTTTTTCAGTATATCTCTTTAAAAAGTGAACATGCTGGTAGAAAGGTTCACTAAAAGACAGCCAGCCTCGACCCAGTTTGAGAATGCAAAGATGCTGGTACTCTTTTGTTCTCTACAATGGAGCGGAGGTGGGGGGTGGGGTGGGGTGGGGGGTGTGTTCCCATTAGCCAGTTTTATAGACAGCCACAACTTAATGCTTACCATACATCAGGCATTATTTTAATTCTGGGTTTAATATGTTAAAATGGACAGGTCTCTTCTTTTAGTGAGTTTATATAGGAAGAAGAGAATAAATAATGATAAATAAGGTGGCTTCAAATACTAAGGAATGACAAGATAAAATACTGTAACACAGCAGAGGGGTGCTAGTTTAGCAAAAGGGGTTCTGGAAGGCTTCTCTGTAGAGAGAACTCTTGAAGTGAGCCAAGTAAAGATAGCAGTTTCTGTGACCAAGGCTGCTGCTGCTTCCTATAACCATTTATCTTTTCTTCTTTGCTTTCCATTCTCAATTTTTAGCTGGGTCTATTGCCACAAAAAGATTTCCTCCTTTTCCTGAAATGTGGTGTGGTCCCAGACTGAGACACACAGTATTATGGGTACTTACAGGAAGTCTCTCTGAGAAGGAGAAGGCCTTTCACTTTGTTTTTCTCCTTCTATGTAGGTGCCTAGAACAAGGACAGGATCACAATGGAGCTCAGAAAGCCATCTCAGACAATGAAAATGACGAAAACACCTTGGGGAGAGGGGAGAAGATGAAAGGAGCCTAGGCTCCCAATAACTTCATGCCTGCTTTGGACGTTTTTCACCTGTGGATTTCTTTAATGCAAAAGAAGTAAACTTTAGTCATACTTTTTAACCCACTGCTGGAGTGTCTATGGAGTTTCTACTATAAGAACTCCAGCAGTGCTCAAACTAGGATAGTTCACTTAGTTAAATCTTATACTCTTCCATCTCCAATGCAGAGGCTATCGAATTACAGGAAAAATATCTGAGGTTGCCCTAATACACTCCATATTCAAAATAACTACATAAACTAGCCCTTGAGAATGGTAAACCTAACATCTAAATTTTATATTAATGATACTGTGAAAACAATTACTAAAATTACAAAATAGAACTAAAGACTGAAAACATAGATGAAGTACTTAAACAAAAGTAAGTGCTAATCAACATAAAACTGCTGTAAGTAGAGTAGGACATGATCTGTCATTAGGGAAAGAATTCTTTTTTCTTAGTTTGGCAATATTTAAGAATTTACTCTATCTCATAAAAAAGCACAGTATTCTTACCTTTGACACATTCATAAAACTTGGCTTGGCTGTTGAAATCAGTCCCAAAGTCTGGATAGAACAATTTACCAGCTGAGAAAGTATATCACAGGCAATTTCAGCTGACTCAGTACTACTGTCAACCTATAAAGACAATTTTTAATCTGAACTTTCTGAAGATAATTTATCAGAGAGTTATTGAAAATAAAATTATTTAATAGAATTCAATTGAGAAATATTATCTATTCCTTCAATCAATATAAAAGAGTATTTTCTTCATACAGAGTGTCTCATAAAGTGAGAAATGGAGATAAGGACAAATGAACTTCACAAAGATTTCTTATTTTCAAATCTTTTTATAATACCATCCAGATGAAGAAAACTGAAGGTTAAGTTACTCAGTTACAGTTCAAGTTCTACATTTCAATCTACACAATAACAGAGAAAAACAAGAAATACTCTGGGACAAAAATTCTGGAAAATTTACTGAGTGTCTTAAGGATCCATATATATAAGCATGTTAATGAAATGTAAACTGATGTTTGTATTTAATGCTTCCTTCTCTTACCTTGAAGCTGACATATTGAAGATGTGCAGCATGCTTTTTAATGATCTGCTGAATGAGATCAGGATGAGTTGACTTAAAATATGAAGTAGCTGACTGGTTCAGTTCAAATTCAAACTTTCTCCAAAGGTCAGGGATATGAAACACTTCATTCCATCTTCTACATATAGAAGATGCTCGAGCCCGATCTATTAAAGGAAGATACTGAAAAATTCGTAGTACCACATGGTAAGGCAAACTCGCCCAGTCTTGGAGAACAGTGTACATGTGGGTCTGGCCAAGGGAAGGGCAGAGCCCAAGTTTGGGCTGTTTCACTGCTGGTGAAGACTGGATCGCTGTATTCACAACACAGAAGTCACTCCTCTTCATTCTGTAAATATCAGAAAATGTTAGGTGTTTGATATTTTTAATATTTCCATCAAATATTTACACTCTACCTGTACAGAATAATATTAGAAAATGGGAAATGATTTAATTAATTCAAATTTACTGATAATCTTCCACTTCCACACATTGATAGGTACTTCTTTGTGCTAGTAATACTAAGATAAGGAAGCGCAAACCTATTCTTAAAGCTATGATCAGATGGTAAGATGCAATGATACACAGTATGACTGAGTTTGGGACAAGCTTCAGTATAAGAAAAAGAGAATGGTATGTGAATGAATCTGCACGTGGGAGAAGTGGTTAGGGAGGCTTGAAAGAAGAAATGTCCAAGGAAGCAAATGTTTATGTCCCAGTTTTTTCCTCTGGTCAATTATAATTTCTTACTATGTCCTACAAAGAAGGAAGCATCACACTGCAATTCTGCTAAGAACTCCTGGGAGGTCTTAATCACAGTACAGTGTAATTAGAAGGATAGGTCTGGGTTAGTCTTACGCTAAGCTACTTACTAACCATGTGATCTTGTACGAGCAGATTATGCTTTAAGCCTCAATTTTTTCATTCATAAAACAGAGGTAGTACTCATCTCACAAAGCTGTGGTGAGGACTGAAGTACTTTATATGCCGGCACATAGTAGGTATTTAATGAATTTTGCAGTCTGTGTTGTTATACTACATTGTCCAATGACTTTTTTGGAATTATTTTCATTCCTTAAGTCAAAGCATCCTTCTAACAAAAATGTAAATGATGTGCAACAATTTTCATACAACATCTGGTACACAGGAGCTCTAGGGAAGGTGGGTTTATCAGGAACAGAACTCTGTGCAAGCACCACACCAGATCCTCTCTAGTTAGTAACAAATAGCAAGAGAATGGGCATTTTTTCTCACCCTCAAAGAAAAGAGGAATCCACAGATATTAGGTTGGAATACAGCTAAGTTCCAACAAATCTGAAATCCAAATATACCCAAATATGTTTGGTCATTTTTTATATATATCTTATATAGGAACCCAAATAATTTTAAGTATTAATTATTTGAGAAGCAAAATAATGGCAAGAGTGGTTTTGAATTTTAACTCTGTTTAACACTCCTTTCACACTTCAATGTTCGGAATGTATATATGGAATATTCATTGTCATAACTGAAACATACTTTCAAATCTAATGAAATATCTATTTAATATATAAATATATCTGCCGTGCGATTCACTCAGTCTGATGTGAAACATTGGATCCCAGAAGCAGGACTGACCTATGAAATCACTGAATAAAATGGAAAGTCATCTTTAAGGCTTGAAAACTGAGATGAAAAATAGAAATAATTGCAAAATTGTATCTCAAGTATCAAAAAAGAACTACTGTATACATTTTGTTTGAATAAACCAGTTATGCATAGGGGGATATAATAAAGAATACATAAATTGCTGATTACCAATAATTCAAAGCACATGTCACTGATCTACTCTTCAATGCTAGTTCCATAAAATAGGTAAAGGAATGGAAGCTGGATTCTAAATTCAGATGCAGAGCATAGTCATTAACATTTTGCTTGTTATCAATTGTATTTGGTTAGCCTATACAATGGATAGTTAAAATTTCAACTAAACTATCAACAAAAAATTAAGTTATCCCTAATATCGTATACTAGAAAAGCACTGAAGCCAAACATAAAACAAAGAATTCACCTCAATGCCAGGTTAGAAAACTGCCTCACAGTTCTCTAAACAAAGGGCTTATGATATATATTAATTCTGATTGTATGTAACATGATTCTTAAAATAATTTGGTAAAGTCATTAAACTGCCAATTGATTGACAACAGAATCACCATGAATAAGTAGTATTATGTGAATACCAATAATTTAGTAAAAATAACGTTTTAATTTTCTTTTCCTTGTGAACATTAATTTTCAGATCATAAAACTCATCTATTAATTATAAATTTCATATAAACAATTTTATGACTGTGCATCAATAAAATATATTTTAGAACACAGGACAAGTTGATTTTTATTGCCTTGAAAGCCCTGACATAAAAATTCCAGCATAAATATATGTAACCATTTAAAACACTTTTTAAACCTAAGAAACTGATTTTTTTTTTCAAGCCTTTCTTACCTAAAGAAGGCTTCCAAGTTACAGTTCACTCTGACCCAGTGAAATGAAGCAACTGCTGCCATGAGGTACTCACCAGCATCCATCTGATTTCACTTCCTATCTTGGCAAAATACCACAAAACACATGTATCAGAATTATAAGTAAACATCCAGTAATTTTTATGCTTATGTTACTTATATATCATTATATACATTGAAGGATTTTGTTAGGAAATTAATTCCAGAACTACTTCCTGTCCTTAAAAAAAACTAGCCTGGTTAGTGGAAATACTCCAATACTTGCCAGGAATGATATTTGAAGTTCTACTAAGGCTATGGATTAGACAGACAGTTAAAGGGCTCTGAGAATCCACATTTTAATAGCATCTACAGAGAGACATTAGAAAATATTTAAGACAGTTACTGACTACATTTATTTGTTTATAGGTTATGTAAATACTTTAGTCTTAGTTTTTAGCAGCACATAACACCACCACAGTTACAATAATCAAATAGGCAGAATTACAATTTCTATTACCTTATCATTGCCATATGAATACAGTTTGACTGCTCTGCTATTAATAGAATGTATGATTCTGATATAGTGATAGATTTGGCATTGATTTCTGCATACTCTCTTTGAGGTTTGATCGATTTCAGGCAAAATGACCTGTCAGAATTGGGAGCAAAGTTTACAAAAATGAAAGAAAACAGTACTAAGTCTACACCAGGATAAAACCCATGGCTTTGGCATCATAGATAAATGTTGTAAGGAAGGAAGGAAGGAATGAATGAATGAATGAATAAATAAATAAATAAATAAATAAATAAATAAATGCATTCTGCTTTTGTAAGTCAATCTCAACTACATAGAGGAGGCAGACAAGGCAACCTATTTATCCACTAAAGATTTGTCTTAAATCTCTACCTTCTACCCCTTCCAGTTGTTTTTTTTTAGGTAGAGTCTCACTGTGTAGCCCAGGCTGGCCTCACAGTGATCTTCCTGCCTCAGCCTCTCAGGTGCTGGGATTACAGGTGTGTGCTACCACACCTGCCCCCCTCCCTCCTGCGAATTCTACTCCTAAAGTAGTGGTTTGAAGGACAGACATGGGAATGCATTTGGGCTCAAGATCTGCAATCTGATTTCCTGCTGCTGTCAGTTCTTCCGTTATTAGCCAAATCACTGTTTCCAGATAACAGTAAGGGTGGCCCTTCCTCCTTTACACTGTATCCAGAATAAGGGTGAAAGAAGCTTCACCTTCAGGGAAGCACCCAAATAAGAACAAGACAAGACAAGTAAATGTGTGCTCCAAATCAGATGACAATTTTATTTACTGTAGAAGCTTTACACTGACTTCTAAATATAGCTTATTCCTGTGTCTGTCACCTATTCTTTTTACTTCCAAAAAATTTATTAACATATACATTTTATGAGGTACACTGTAATATTTCAATACACACATACAGCCTGTACTGATCAAATTGGGGCAATGAGTATTTTCATTTCCTTATCATTTCTTTATGCTTGAAGCCTTTGAGCTCTTTTTTTCTGGTTCTTCGTAAGATATATATTCTTGTGAACTCTATCATCCCACTGTGCTGTAGAACACGAGAACTTCTTCCTTCTCCCTCACTGTGTCTTAGTGCCCATTATCTAGCCTCCCTTCATCCCTCTCCCTCCTCTCCTTCTACCCTACAGCTTCCACATGAGGCAAACACATGGTATCTGTCCTTCTATGCCTGGTGGCAGGCCATTCTTTTTTCTTTTTTTACTCTTTTAAATGTTTTATGAAAAAATAAAACAAAATTTCATAATCAAATAACAGTTATTACACTGAGTATCATTATCTTCAAAGTAGTTACTCAGAGTATAAGACATAAACCAAAAAGATTCTTACAAAAAAGAAACAGTAACACTAGTCTTTCTTTGCAATGAACTAAGATAAACTAGTAGTATAAATGAAACCAACTAGCATATATATATATTGAAATATTTTTAAAACAATGGAATTTGTAATTTGGGGAGATATTTGAACTATTGCCTATTTCCTATTTATCTCTCTTCTATTTTGTTCCTGATTTGTGTTTCTTATATAAGAGGAACAGTGCGCTATTTGAGCTGGTGTGTCTGAATTATTTCACTTAACATTACGTTCTCAATTTGTACTCATTTATCTACGAATGCTTCAAGTTTATTATTCTTTATAGCAGCATAGTACTCCATTGTATATAAATACCACATTCCCACTAACAATGCAGTATAGTTCCTTTTCCCCCACATCCTCGCCAGCATTTGTTATCATTAGATTTTTTTTTCTATGACAGGCATTCTTTCTGGGGAAAGATGGTTATCTCAGTGTAGTTTTAATTTGCATTTCTCCAATGGCCTAAGATGATGAGCATTTTTTTCATGTATTTATTAACCACTTGTACATTGGAGAAGTACCTATTCATTTAAGTTGCCCATTTTTTGACTGGGTCTTCTTATTTTGGGGGGTCTAATTTTTTTGAGTTGTTTATATATTCTAGGCCATTCTTTATGCTAGAGATTACTGACCTAGGCTGTTAAGGATACATAAATGAGGAATTGCTAGACTTAAGACTGATGGTGCACTAATATCTATCTTAGATCAGGTTATTAGTCTTCAGGATCAGGTGGGTTACTTCCCTGGTTACTGAAGGAATGAGACTGCTGCCTCAGAGTCACTATCCGGAATTACGAGGGCTGGTAGGGGACAAAATCAGAATATAAGACCCAGTTAAATTATAAACCATACTTCTGAAAAGGGAGTTGGAAACTTAGCACAGTTCTAGAGCATGAAACATGTTTAGTGACATATAGGAACAGTGTGATAACGCAAGTTCACTTAATATCTATGCTAACTACCTTGACCCAAATTACGTTTTTATTTGTTTCATAATATAGTATATCAGGTGATCATGTGAATCAGATTCTCTACAAGTGTCTAAGAAATCTCCCACAGGAATTAGAGGGAAAGTTCGTCAAACAGATTAGATGGCAGACTGCTGGGACATCTAAAGCCAACCAGGAGTAGCAATGGAAGCAACTATCTGCACCACCACCAAGTGCTTCCCACAAAAAGCACTTCAAAATGCTAAAGTTTTCAATTTTCCTAATAATAGAGATAATATGTAAATACTACAGATATTAGAATGAAGATTCAAAACTATCTCAGTGGGCTAGATAAATTTGTTAGAAGCAGTAAGAAGAAAATGAACAAATAATTATCAAATGTCCATTTTTAATCTACTTTCTACAGTGGCACGCTAGGAAAGCAGATTGCTAAGAGGTCTAGAATCCCAGGCACTGGTGCAATGCCAGGAGAGGCATATCCTAGAAAAAGTCTGAAGACTTTCCCTCCAATAGAGCACTTTAAAACACACAGCTTTTTAGCAAAAGAATCAGCTGTGTTAAGGAGCTAAATATAATCCAAGCACAGGACAAAACATAATTTGTTAGAATGTTGTCAAAAAGGTTTATGTTCTTTGCAGCCCACATGACCTCCAAGTTCCCTTCTAATTCTAAAAGCTACAGTTTTTTTAAAATGCCCAAATCAAATGAAAACAGGTTCAAGGAGAGAAAAGATTGAGTACTGATATTGTGCAATTCTTTCCTAAGACAGTATTTGCTATCTTTTTGTTCTCACATTTATTGACGTTAGCAATTGTCTACGTACTCCCAAGCCTCCCTCTGGTATGAAGATATATTTTTAATTTCAGAATAGGTTATGTTTATTTTTAAGTAAACCATATGAAGACTCAAACTTGCTAAACATACTTGGATTGAAAACACCTTTTGAGATGCAAGAAAAGGGATGCACAGAACCTGAAATGGGCAATCTGTTAAAATCCCTGAATGAGGGGGGACACTGAGGCAGCTCTTTCTGCTTCACTCCTCAACCTCTGCCTCAGACGCAGAGAGAAAAAGGGGCTGGAGGACACCAAGCCAGGCCCTTGACAGCGAAGCCTTGTGCAAAGGGGCAGAACCCATCTTAGTACAGAGGACACTAAGTATCTAACAATTAATGGAAATGATTTATGGAATTATTTGCAATATTTTTCTGGGAGAAAATGGTCAGAATTTATTTTCCAATTTCAAATTTTGGGAAAAGGGGTTTTTTTGTTTTTGTTTTTTTGTTTTTTAAATCACACCTACCAAACACAAAAACCGGAGGAGTATCTGAAAGCGTAGTGGTCCTTTCCATTCACTGAAAAAGGAAAGGGTGAAATTTTCAAGTCTCCTGGCAGCAAATATAAACTCTTACATTACAGTATTAGGCTCCTATAAACTAAAATACTTCAAGAAGTTGTGCAAATGCAACCTCGTGTAAAACTCAGCATTTTCCAGCAATCAGATATATCAGAAATAACAGTAAAGACAAGCTTGAGAGAAGAGGTGAAGATGAAACCCGTTCTAGGCTTACCCTGCAAAGATCCACAAGTGGCCGAATCCAAGGAACCTGGGTCCGGGGACTTGTCACTGTAGGAAAAGAAACATGGAAAGGAACTCACCATCTGGGGCCTCACACCGCACACCGGACCCGAGTCCTAGGCGAACCAAACTCCGGGTTTTCCGGAGTTGGGTGGGGGGAGCTCGGCTTGGCCAGGCTGGCTGCAGGGTCGGTTCAGGGGACGGGGCCAGCCGAGAGATGCCCGAGGCGACTAAGATACGAGGGCACGCTTCCCGCCTCACACCGATACCCGCGTGGCTCTTCCAGACCGGCCTTCCCCGCGAACCCCAGTAGGAAACGCTACCTTTAAACAGAACCAGTCCATTTATTCCGCGCGTTTCCGGCGTCCGCGAACCGGATTGGCTGAAGTCCAGCTGTCCCGTCAGCCCCAGGAGGAAGCTCCTGGAGAGCGCTCGGGCCGACTGGCTGACTGGGGGGCGCGCGGACCCTCACCCCAGTGCGCAGGCATCCAGCTCTCACACCCAGAAGGCCCGGAGCGACCCCGCTCCCCTGCCACGCCTTTCCCGGCCACTAAGTGCCCTTTTTGGTCGCCGTGGGCTACGGGGAGTCTATTGGGGGAGCGAGTGGGGAGCTTCGTGTTTGCTAGACATCTGCTAAATCTCTGCGGCCACCTGTCTGGACAATGGAAGGTCGTCCTCTCCAAATAGAGGTGACTAATGGCACCAGTTTCCAAAACTTAACCTCCCCTAAAAGTGCTCCCTTTTAATCCATATACAGGACTTGCAAAGAAGCTTTCTCAATATTAAAATGATATAGTAGCTCAGCGTTAAACACAGCTATATCATTTCTGTGACCCGTGCAACATCTCAGTCCCTGGATGGTTACTTGCTGCAATAGTTACGAGCTGAGGATTTTTAAACTTTCATCTTACTGGTTTTTTTCCCCCAAAATATAAAATCAAACTGTTCGTGACATTCTAGAACTTCCTTTTATGGCTTATTACATCAGGATATAGTTCCATATCTGCACGTACATATTCCCCTCATAAATTTTTATGAAGTTTTATTGATATATAATCAGCAAAATAAAATGCACATACCTAAATTGTATCATTTCATACGTTTTGACACCCTTGAAACTATCACTGTAATCAAGATAATGAACATATAGTAGACATATCTCCCCAGATATACTATGTCTCCAACTGCTCCTTCAGGTTCCTCCTGCCCCCACTGCTTTCTTTAAAAAAAAAAAAAATATATATATATATATATATATTTTATCTATTCATGTTTGCAGTATATTTACTACTAAGAAATGATTACATTCCTCATGGAGAGCTGGTATATTTACATAACACATCTTTTTGGGGGGGGGGGGTTACTGGCGATCAAACTTGGAACCTTGGGTTTGCCAGGCAGGCATGGGAACCACTGAGCTAAATCCCTGGCCCGGCGTGGGGGAGTTTATTGTGTATACAACACATCGTAATTCTTTGTCCCCTTCCCCTCCCATACCTCCCTGCTCCCTCCCACTCTTAATCCCTTTCCATTTGAAAAAGCTCTATTTCCATTTGTTTCTTTCTCTTTTTCTTAATCTTTTTTCCTTCCTTCCTCCACCCCATCTCCTATTCGTCTTGATCCTCTTCCATTTTGCACATCTCCCTATATCCTATCATCTAGCTTTTATTTTGCTCTTTATATTTTGAGTTTCTCAAGTAAGAGAAACCATGTGCTAGCCAGGTGTGGTTGTACACACCTGTAATAGCGCACTCAGTAGGCTGAGGCAGGAAGATTGCTGTGAGTTTGAGGCCAGCCTGGGCTACATAGTGAGTTCAAGGTCAGCCTGAACTACATAGCTAGACTCTGTCTCAAAAAATAAAATAGAATACAAAAGAGAGTGAGAGAGAAACCACGTACTATTTAAGCTTCTGTGGCTGATTTCCATCTACTTTCTGACATTATAGGTTAGTTTGCATTTTCTATTATATAAATTTAAATCATATAGCATGTACTCTGGCTTTTTGTATAATTAATTTGAGATTCATCATTTTGCATGTTCATTTCTTTTTATTTATTGCTGAGGTAGTAGTATTCCATTGTATGTGGATATAAAATGGGTTGATTGTGCATTTACCTGATCAGAACATTTGAGTTATTTCTAGTTTTGGGCTATTATAAAGCTGCTATGAATATTATTATTTATACCTCTTCCTGAACATACACTTTCCTTCCTGTTGGGTAAGTACTGTTCCTAGGGGTAGACTAGCTAACTGTATGTTTCAATAGGTATATGCTTATAACTTGTCCTTTCTTTTCAAAATCATTTTGTCTATTCTAGATCCTTACATTTCTTTAGGATAATTGTGGTCCAAACATCATTATATATAAAAATATTGCTGGGATTTTGCTGACAGTTGTCTTTAATCTAGAAATCAGTTGGAATTGATATCTTGAAAATGTTCTCTCTTCAAATTGATGAACATAGATGATACTTCTCTCTATTTAGATCTTTAATTTCTCTCACAGGTTTTCAGTGACAAGCCTTACACACTTTTTAAAGAACTATCTCTAGGTATTCATAGTTTTTAAGTGCATGTATAAATTGTTTTTTATTTTATTGTTTTAAAAATTTTAATCTCTAATTCTTTAATGTCAGTATGTAGACATACAATTTTTTTTTGAAATATTGGTCTTGACTCTTGCAACCTTGCTGAAATAATTTCTTTATTCTAGGAGTTTCCATTGGAATCTAGTATATTCTGTTAGATTTTTCACATAGGTGGCCCTGATGTCTGTGAATAAAGACTATTTTACTTTCTTTCCAATACAAATGCCTTTCATTTATGTTCCTGCCAGACTACACTTTATCTCCTGTACACTTTATCTCCAGTACAACTTTATCTCCAGTACAATGTTAAGAATGAACATTAAATGGAGACGTCAGTCAGACTAAAGGAGTATCAATTTTACTGATCTCTAAGAATCAGATTTTTGTTTCATTGCCTCCCCCCTTTGGTTTTTGGCTTGTTTTATATTTCACGTATTCTCCTCTGATCTTTACTTCTTTTCTTTTGGGTTTGAAGAGTCATTCTTTTTCTAGTTTCTCAAAGTGGAAGCTAAGTTCATTAACTGAGACTTTTCTTTTGTTCTAACGTATGGCTATAAATATTCCTTGTAAGTAGTACTTTAGTGGCTTCTTATTGATTTCTTTTTTTTTTTTGATTATTACATATATTTTCTATTTATTCTGGGAGTTTGATTCCTAAGCTCATGGAGTCAACTAAATTTGGCCTAGGTACTCCCTTCTGTGTATCAGTCTAGAATTCTTTCAAGGCAGTAAAATGGGATAATTCTGGGACTTAGCAAATTCGTTTCATGACTCTTAAAGTCATTGTCTTTTGTTGCCTGATATCTTGCATCTTGAAAGTTATTGTTTACATATTTTGCCCACTTTTTCTTTGGGTTGTTTTTTTCTACTTCTCTGTCTTGGTTAAAGTATAAGTGTCTTTGTTATATTCCTTTAGATTAAGTTTTCCCTAAAGGAAATTATAAAAAAATCATTAAACTTTACTGAAGTTGAGGCTATTCATTAAAAAAAAAAAGTCCCTGCTAGTGTGTCTTAAATGCAGAAGAACCTCTCCAGTTTGCATTGTATTCACAGCATGAAGCCCTCCCTAAGTGGGGAATTGTGAAATAAGTCTTTCTAAGTGGGTCAGGCTTAGTCATCACTGACAACATTGATTCAAATCTATTGTACTGAATAAAGCAAAGAGCATGGCAAGGAGCTCACGATTTCATTAATCAGGTTCTTCTGTGGCTAGTAGTCTTTTCTTGCCCAGTCTCATGGATCTGAACTTACTACTTTTTAAAAGAAGAAAGAAAAATCATTTTTAATATGTTCCTTTTTCACTATCGCATCCCTAGTCAAGCTTTTATACAGCAGAATTTTGAAAATAAAATGTCACATTGAACCGTGTTTTCCATCTTTGTAGATGAGATGATTTTAAAAGCTACAAGTCAAGGAAAATAATTGTGCAAATACATTTTGTTTAAAAAGAAATAAATGATTTCATCGCCATGTTTAACTAAAATTTGAATAGGAATACTTTGTTAATCTAATTTTCTGTAGTCATTTTATTTATGAAAGACAAAACCTGTATTATTACTTTCATTGTCAGCAGAAATCTGGGATCATTGGGAAAAAAGGGATCAGTCATTCAAAACCACTTCATAAAAGTAGGTTAGTTAGTAGGTCATGTTTTATAGTTGTCTTGGTGACCAACATTTTAAAGGACATTTAAAAAAAGTAACTGCTAGCAAAAGTGAAAATTTCTTAGATTTTTGAACAAAAGGAAAATTCTAACACTGAGATTTTTTATAAAGAATAGTGAATACTTTTCTAGTTTCTAAATTTGATTTCTTTGTTTATGGCTAGTTTTTAAATTATTATTAATTTATGATCTTTGAAAATGGACATATATTAAAACTGAAAATTGAGTACATAGTGGTTTAATTTGATTTACTGATTTTAGAAAGAAAATATTCCGAGATTCTTTAAAAAATTCATTATTGTGTCCCAGGCACCATAATGTGAGCTTCTTCTCCTCTGCTATGCCATCTGGCCTTGGAACTAGCCAGCAATGGACTGAAACCAGTATAAAGCACCAGTTATCCAAAAAAGACTGATGAACTATCCCAAAGTTTAACAACATATGTTGTGGGAGAATCCCTGAGGAAACAGATATTCTAACAAATTCCTGCTGGTAATTAAAAGAGTTTTACTCCCTTTGGAGGAGAATTTGGGTCCTGCTACAAGCGTGTGGGCACTGCTGAAAGTCCTCTCTTCACTCCTGTGTTCTGAACAAAGGGAAATGAGAATGGAGGACACAGTCACTGCAACAACCATATGACTCTTCACCTCCTCATAATTCTCAACAATGACCTCTTTGTCACCACTCATTATTTTACCAAGACCCATGACCTGCTGTCTTCTTCTTGACCAGCAGGTGCAGGGGTCATCAGGCATTTTCTGGTCTTGTGAAACCTACCTGCAAATGG